AGCTCCCAGGTAAGTTCCTGGATTACTTTACTGGCTTTAGAGGAACGTCTGCTGGTAGTATTTCTCCTTTCACAGAACCACCGAGTGCGTATGACGAAATTCATGGTCACGGCGATCGTGAGTCCTGGCTGGAAGCAGTCAAGGACGAGCTGGCTTCCCTGAAATCCAACGAAGTATGGAAGTTGGGGAAGCGTCCGGTGTCATCCAAACCACTGAGGTCCAAGTGGGTTTTCCGTGTGAAGCAGGATGAACATGGCAACGCTATCAAGTGCAAGGCTCGGTTGGTCGTCAAGGGTTATCTGCAAAAGCCTGGGATGGACTACCAGGAAACATAAGCTCCGGTTGCGAAGTTAACCACCATTCGAACGGTGCTGGCTGTCGGCCTACAACGGCGCTGTTTCTTCCACAAGATGGACGTGATTAAAGGCGCCGGTGGTGTAGTGGCAAGCGTGATTACCTCTCACCCCAGCAGGCCTGGGTTCAATCCCAGTCGACGCCGCCGGGATGTTCTGAGGCATAACATCTCTGATCACGCCTTCCTTCGGATGGGAAGTAAAGCCGTTGGTCCCCGGTTCATGAGTTGATGGGTCGATAGGTAGGGTCCAGGTGTGGGAGCTGCCTTCCTGGCACGTCGGTAGCATTGGTGCTCAGCACGGAAAACAAGATCGACGGAAAAAACAAACCAAAAGGAAAAAAAGCTGGAGGGTGGTGTACAAGACACAACCGCATTGTTGACGTAGGACTACGAATTTTTTTACGGTTCGGACGTTTTAGAAGATGTCGCGCAGTAGGAGAATGCATACGATGAGGGTTTCTCAGTTAATGAAAGTGAAACGGAAAAAGTTTAACCCACCGATAAGATAGAACATAATTTATTTCCCTAACAAATTATTTGATTTTTGAATCATTTTGATGTATTTAGTGACAAATTGAATGGGTGAATCATGGGTTACTCTATATATATTCTATTCTAACTCTTGAAATGAACTTGGTGGCCCTGAAAAGGGCCGTTTTGTTACGTTGGTGAAAGTTGTAACCTCCGAAACCGTGAGTGCGTCCCTGTCGCTTCAGAGCGTAGACGACATCCATGGCCGTGACGGTTTTGCGCTTAGCGTGTTCAGTGTAGGTGACGGCATCACGCATATTTTCTAGGAACACCTTCAGCACATCTCGGGTTTCCTCGAAGATCAGACCGGAGACGCTTGATACAACCACGTCGAGCCAGACCCAAGATTACAACTCTAGAGAGCAGCGGCGCCCGTGTTGTAGTGGTAAGCGTCCCAGCAGGCCTGGGTTCGATCCCAGTCAACGCTGCCGTGATGTGTAGTGAGCATTTCTCACCTCATTTTTACAACGCAAAAACAAATACAGTTTACTACTAGCATTAAAATCTACTTTATTTTACATATCTATAACAAGCTTACACTCTATTATATCTACTGCTTCAAAACGAACTATGTTCCGTTAACTGTGTGCAAAGTTATTGGCATATGAGCAGTTCGTGACCAAAACTGTGTATGCCAAGCATAGGTGTGGGTAGCATAGGTGCATGGAAAACAAATCCAAGGAAAAAAACAGCATTTTGTGTGGTTGTTGGGGGCGTGTGGTTCTGAATTGGCAACAAAATGTTCCGCAATTGTATCCTCCCTATTCGAACACACCCGAAGTTCGTAGGTGAATGTCACTTCGACTTGTTTCATCTAGGAACCATTCTCTGATGACTGTGTTGGGGAAGCAGCACATGCATGTACGTAATTGGTGGATTTGTTGGTTATTTAGAAGCTTTTGGACAATGCTTGACATTTACCACTTTTTCAATAGTTTCAATTTGAAAATCAACAGTCAAGAGCATTGCTGTCAATGCGTAGAAATGTTTCTGATCGATTGGTGATAAAATAATTGAAATTGGTCCAGGGGCAGCTAAGTTATTAACGTTCAAAATCTTTCATAATTTCATTTTTCGCTTTTCATAAATTATACCCCCATCTTCCCGAAAGACGTAGTCCTACGTCAAAAAAAAAAGATGGACGTGAAAACGGCTTTTCTTCATGGCGAGTTGCGTGAGGAAATATATATGAAAGTCCCCGATGGCGTACAAGCTCTCTCTGGAATGGTGTGCCGTTTGCAGAAATTGTTGTACGGGCTAAAGCAGTCTCCCCGCAGTCTCCCCGCCTACTGCCTGTGCACATGGTACAGCGAGGACGGCAAAAATGCAGTGTTTATCGTGCTGTACATACGTCGATGATTCATTGATAGTAGGCAAGAATCTGAAGACGAACCAGGCGCTGAGGAAACGACTATCTCATGTTTTCGAGATGACGGATTGCGGTATGTTAAAGCATTTCCTAGGGATTAGGATCAACTACGATCGCAACGCCGGAAACATGCAATTGTCGCAGGCAGTAAACATCACCATTCTCCTGGCGAAGTTTGGCATGGCTGATTGCAATCCGTCAAGGACACCTATGGAAAAAGGATTGAAACTTGTTGTAAATGAAGGACAGAAAACTGCAGAACCTTACCGTGAGCTGCTTGGAAGCCTCATGTATGTTATGATGTCCACCCGTCCTGACATATGTTACCCGGTTGGCTATTTGGGCCGATTTCAACAGCAACCCAGCCAACAACATTGGATTGCACTGAAGCGTATAGTGCGTTACCTGCGAGGCTCGAAGAATTTTATGCTGGAGCTGAAGAGGAACGAGCAAGCCAAACCACTCGCCCGTTACGCAGATGCGGATTGGGCCGGTGACACTACCGACCGGAAATCGGTAAGCGGTTACTTGTTCCAGGTGTACGGAAACACCGTTTCATGGTCCAGTAAGAAGCAGACTACTGTGGCCACATAATCGAGCGAGGCGGAATATGTGGCATTGAGTGCTGCAGCGGCTGAAACTACATATCTGGCTTACAGGACTATTAGGCGATCTTGGCTTGAAGACTGTCGAACCTGTTCCTATTTTCTAGGACAACCGAGGATGCATCGGAATGGCGAAAAACCTCGAGTGCAAACGGGCCAAGCACATTGACATTAAAAATCACTTTGTGCGAGACCACATTGCTGCTGGAAGTCTGACTGTGGAAGTCATTCCGACTTTGGATCAACTAGCAGACAGATGCTGGTCGATTTGAAGCCCTAAGAAGGAAGATTGGACTAGACGATCGAGAGGGGTTGAAACCGCAGCAAGCGGTTTTTTATTTGAATCGATCGCGTTGGCACCTGCTGTGTGTGTGTGTGTGTACAATCTAACCCCCACTGTCCGGCAGTGTTATTATGGAAGAAAACTGCTTTTTATTACCCTTCAATTAAAGCAGGTTTAGTCCGGGAGTTAGAAGGTGTTAGCTCTATTGCAGCTCCAGTGACCCATTTCAGAATGCCTGGTAATTCACGACCACTCCGAGGTCACTTTTACTTACAATAAGCCCCGCATGTTCACTCTACCTTTATCAAATGGATAATGGTATCATAAACACACTTCCAGATTCAAAAAATATTATTTCCAAATCTGGCACGTATATAGTTTTGAAATTTGTTTAACTGTAATAAAACGATTTTAATGGACATTTCTTACCAATTTTGTTTCGAATACCTCTTGATTCATCTGCTGGCAGCACTTACTGGACCTTACCGGCGACCAACTCGTCTGCCCGCAAAAGCAACAACGCCTAAATCTCAAAGCTCTCCGGACGTCCCCTCGAAATTGCAATCGAGATATGTATAAGAACAATCTTCAACTGGAACGAACTCACCAAATCAAACGGCAAAAAAAAGGGAACTCGTTGAGCAATTTTGTGATACGGAATTTTCACTGAACATAAACCGCGAATTTACGAACTTCACCACTCCCAACTGCGAAACACGTTCAGAAGCACTTTTGGTACACTTTCGATCAATTTCTTTCGAACACACAAACAAAAGTTTCAAGCAGCGAGCCAACATCAACACCGATTGTGCCGAACTCTTTCACGCACCTTGCAGCGCGTAAATAAACTGAAATAATCCGGGAGAAAATCAAATAACGCAGATTGCGACATTTCTTCTGATGCTTGCAAACATGTTGAATCACGTTATCTTTCTCTATTCTAAAACTTCCCGGAAAGCGAGAAAACTACCAATCACACACGTATAAACGTCCGGGAGGCAGAGCGCCAGCGCTAATCCGGCAAATGCAGCCGAAAACTATGAACGTGAACGCACCACAAAACAGAGAACAAAAAACCAATCGATCGCGTTGGCACCTGCTGGGTGAAAATTCTATTAGTCGTTAGTCGTTAATAATCACTAGACGCGAACGGTCACTTTTTAATTCGTTCTAATAAACTTTTTAGGTTACGTTTAATTCCACGTGTTAGTTTTTTTTTTCTGTGTTCCGGAAGACCGAAGTCCTTTTAGTATTTCACGTTTTTATTTTTATTTAGAATTCTCAACATTTTTTAAATACAGTACGATAGAAATTGTAATGTCATACGACAGAACAGGTTGACAAATCTTCAACCGACTGTTTTAACGATGATTTTTAAACCGCTGATTTCAATTCGTCGGGTCCAGTTTACAAATCAACGTACAATCCTGGGGGTAAATCGATGTGGGGCCTTGTTTATTTGTTGAAGAGAGGCCAATGGTTGCAATCAAATCTATATAGCCACATAGCCGGCACGCTTTCTGCTTGCTACGAATAAAAGTTAAGAGATGACTGTCAATCACTGGATGAAAAGAAGGCTTGACGGAAAATATTTTTCACACATTATTACCAGCGAACCGGGAAAACCAGAAAATAATTGGGAATTTTAAAAGTAGCCGGGGAAAAACCGGAAGTTCAATCGGAGACCTACTAAAATTTATAAACTTTTGCATATGGTCGTCGCACAGAGGAGTAACTAGGGCACAAACCTGGCCAAAATATTTACTGCGTTTTTGAGAGATGTTAGGCATGGAAACAATGTAAAAAAATATTATTATTGAAATTAGTTCATTGCCCTACATTTCATATTTAATAGGCCTAATTACATTGTACAACATCTAAGAAATTGTCTTCATCCTCTAGAATCATCTTATGCATCGGACTACCCCTCACATTCAACCCTTTCACCTTGAACAATACTCCTGAGGCGGGTGGTCTGCTCGGAACCGTTCCTGGTTGCAGTTGACTGTCAACAAAATCCGATCTCGATGTGGTTACAAACAACTCGTCCAGCTTTGGTCCTCCAAATGCCACCGAGGTGACCTGTGTGGCAGGAATCCATATTTCCTGCTCAATTCTTCTATCGGTCGCGTTAATCTTGAACACTCGAGAGCCGTACCACGTGGCTACAAACAAGTTTCCCGCCTCATCGCTTGTCATACCGTCGGGGAAGAACCTAGGAATTCTCCCATTCACTAGAAAACTGAACAAAATCTGTTCATGGCACAAATCCCCGCTCGGTGCGATGTCATACTGTTTCACATTCCACGCCATGGAATCTATGAAATACATCTTTCCCAGCTTCTCATTCCACGTCAGCCCGTTGGAGATTCCGACGTGATTTCGCTGAACGTAAAAACCTCCGCCGACCCGTCCATCAAATCGGTAGAATTTGCCTTCTTTGGGTCCGAAAAGGTTCAATCCCAGTGATTCGCGAAGCATGGTTCCAATATACAGCCGTCCGTGTGAGTCCACCTTCCCATCGTTGAACCGTACATTACTTTCCGACTGACCCAAATCGGCAACGAACTTTACGAAGGTGGCCTTTTTCGAAAATCCATCCCACTGAACCAGACTCAGCTTGTTGTCCGTTCCCAGTACGAAGTGGTCCGGATTTTCCTGGATAAGAATGATAACCGAAATGGTCGTAAAGTTGGTAGGGGTGCCATCTGATGCAGGTACAAGCAAAACAAGTGATTTAAAATATTCTATTTGATCTAATAAAATATCTTACCTATTGTGGCTCGGTAGGTCTGATTTTTAGCGTAGTCATAACGAAGGATGGCCACCTCATAAATATCCACGTAGAATAAACATTGTCTGTCGATGTCCCAGACGGGACCTTCTCCCAGCGTGGAAAGGGGGCTCGGAAGCTGCTCAACGTAGTACGAATGGGTCTGTGGGTGTATATGACAGTAATCGATTTAGGAACTTCACAAGTGTGTTAGGAGCTTAGGATCTTACGTTACTGGCCAATGTTAAAAAACACGATATTGACAGCAAACGTTGGTTCAGATTTAGTGATATTTGAAGAAACATCTATAAAACTCCTTGAACAGGTACTAGGTACCGATGTGAATGCTTCGCAGCTACTGCTATTCTGCCACTCCTGACGAAACATGTCTTGTTTGAAAAGCATATACTTATTGGTGGGTAGTGATGTTTGTTTTTTCAACACAAACGCTACCTTCCTTAGGTAAAAGAAAACAGATTAGAGCTCGTTATCCAGGGACGGTTTTTTCATTGTTCGATAATTCGGCCATTCCATAACAAAACGATGTACAGTGCTTTCCCGATTCTGCAGTCCGCAAATCGCACCGTATGCTCCATAATTTGTGCGACGTAGAGGCAGTCTTAACATAAGGTTGTTACGAAGCGGTCGGGGTTGAACATTCAGGTCAATTTGCCTTAGGATAGCCTCGCAATCTGTCCTTCCACGGTTAGGGCTCTGCTTGCGTCTCTTCTAGTTCGGAGAAGTTCTAGGTCTATACGTTGACAACGGCTTTCGTAACTGGGTAATCGTAACGGATCATTCCAAGGCAATCTACGCAACGCAAAACGAAGAAAGTGACGTTGAACAGATTCAATTCTCTCGGCACCGTTGCTGTAGTTTGGGTTCCAAACCGCTGAACAATACTCAAGCGTCGATCGAACAAGCGAACAATAGAGAGATTTTAGACAGTAGATATCAGTGAAGTTTTTAGCTATGTTTGTGCGTGCGATACTTCGTAAATCTTCTCAATGCTGCTCTCTTGATTGACTTCAACCTACGAGGCTCTCTCGTCAGGCAGGGAGGGTGAGACACTTTGTGGTGAGTTCTTTTCGGGACGTGTCTGTTAATGACATATGCCAAGACATGTGAAAAGGATTGCGCTGCAGCCTCAACGTCATCAAGGATGTTCTCCCATACCATGCTAGACAATACATCTATGATACTACGGTGGCCAGCTTCACGGAAGTCATAAGAAACCGTAGCAGGATAATCGTCGAAATCACGCACGAGTTTGTTCTCAACAGTGACAATCAGAGGAGAGTGATGTGGAACTAGCTTAGTTAGTGCACAAGGAGCCGAGGAAGTTAATGGAGCCCTGTCCTGTGTGCTCGCGAAGCAGAGGTCCAAACTACGATCATTTTCGTTAACTACATGGTTAATTTGAGAAAGCATTGCTGCGCTGTAATTGTCGAGAAGGCTAATAGCACCTGCGTGAAATGTAGAGCTATCAGGATCTGGATACAGGAATCCGCTATGCGATGGACTCCACGAAAGGCCTGGCAGATTGAAGTCACAAAAAATTAATATCTCATCAACTGGAGTGGCACTTTCGATAACTGTGAAAACTGACCAACAGTGAGTATCGATGAGTTCATTGTCCCGGACTCGATCAGGTCGAATGTACGGGGCGCATAGAAATAGTGTGCGATCACCCAAATTGATGGCTGTCCAAACCTGCTCCACATAGTTTCATGAACCGTTCTCGATGGCCTTTGCCTCCAACCCGCCACGGACAGCTACAAGGACACCTCCACCAGTAGATTTACGGCTGTTGTTAGGATTCCGATCGCAACGAAAGACCTCGTAGTCAGGACCGAAGACTTGACTGGAAAGCGTTCGATAATCGAGCCACCGACAAACCGACATGAATGACCATAGCAAAAACAATAAAATTTCTGGCCAAAGCACGCTACCAACATATGGCTCCTAGAGTCGGTGTATAATGAGTCACGCCAAGAGTGAAGCCAAGTCTACCTATTGAACTGTCAAACCGGCTACCTATCGTGCAAAGTAAATAAACATTACGATGCTATGAAAGGTCCACGAAAGGTATTGCAATAAAATATAAAATATAATCGAAGAAATGAGCATAAACACGCAGTGAGCGTTAAATTGTCATGGGATACGCTCGGTAATGATTAGTAATGAGAATTTCTACTATTTTTTGTTAAGATAATTTGACAAAATCACTGATATAATGATTTACTACCGTCGCAATATTTTTTCTCTCGCTAGAAGTCATTTGAAGTTGATGTAGAAGTCCTCTGTTGCCAAGTGAAAAGAAAGGGAATCCTTCGAAAACCGTGATGCGAGTTCAACTGTTTTTCTCTTGGCGTGACTCATTATTCACCGACTCTAATGGCTCCGTGTTCGTGGTAAATATTCATTCTGGACAAATTATTTTTATCTAGATAAAAAAAATCCTATGGTTTTGACAGTTCGGATCACTGCACATTTAAATCGGCCGTTTACGATTTTCGAACATAGGACAATTACATCGTAGCAACATTCCGATACAGCTAGGCGGTACTCTCATAGAAACGTGCTCAACTTTTTGGCTCAGCTCTGGTACTCTCTTCGGTCCCAAGCTAATCGATGCACCCCTCGAAACATAGGAAAATCCACGAGCCCCTCATTTTATCTGTCAAACTTTCATAGCGAATCAAAACAAACATAGTTTAGTACTAGAATTCTGACTAGAATGGGGTACGTAAATCGATTTGCTTGGGACCAATAGGCTAGTAAAGTAGTGAGCCAATTTAAAATCGTTAGTTTCCACCGGTTGGTACTCTTCAACATCAGAATTCATTACACCGGTGTTTTGGTAGAAGATCACAACGTCCTGCTTGCGGCCAGGAATCCAACGACTGCTCTCCCTGGAAATCACAGATACATCAGGCAATAACTGACCATCATCAAGTCTGATTGGATACTCGCCATAGTGAGTGGGTTGGAAGACCCCCTCTCCACATCCGACAGCAGGTCCGGAACGACTATGATGAACGAAGGCTGCTGATGGCAGGACTGAGACGGAGGGATTGGGGGCTTCCATGGGGCTTTCTACGGCGCGTTCCGGGTTCCCAGGATTGGGAGTTACAGAGGCATCATCACAATGACGAACATAGTCCGAATTGCTGAAAATTTGATTGGCATCAGGCAGTGAATAGTCAATATATTGATTGTACTTGCCTGTAGAGGCAAGGTGGAAGACTCCTGATTCATATCCAGCCACAGGTCCAGGATGGCTATGCTAAACGCTGGCAGGAATCGGCACGACTGGGCTGGAGGAAGCAGGAGCTTCCAAAGAGCGGTCTATTGTGTGTTAGGATTGTTCGAACCAGTGATGGAAAAGTTCGCGATATTTCACGAAGTTCACCAAGGGAAAAGTTCACGAGTCATAGTGAGTTTTCGCGAACTTTTCCATCACTGGTTCGAACAGTAAAGCGGATGTTGTGAATGAGCAGTATCAGAAATGCTTCTCAACTGGAAATAGCCGGCAGATGCTTGAGGCGTTGTACTGGAACACGGAAGCTGATCAGGAAAATTACTGCAACTAATGTATGCATTCTTGCCTGAAAACGATGGTTGGGAGACCCCACCACCGAACTCGACCGCAGGTTCAGAACGACGCTGATGGCAGGAAATAGAACGACCTTGATGGCAGGAAACAGCTAGCGCGACTGGATCGAGTGGTTCGAGGTCTCCCATAATGCGACAGGCAGTGCGTTCTGGTTTACAGCGTTCCAATTCACAACGCGGCATCCAATTCTGAATCAGCATACTGGGTCTAGTCCGGAGATGGGAGTTGAGAACTCGGAGGTCCCGGAACAGGAGAGATCGAGAGGCTGGCGTGGTCAAACGAGGCATCCACATGTTTTTTGAACCGTCTTCAAATTCACGGAACAATATTCCTTTCGGCCATGTATCCGATGTAAGAGCAACTTCACGTAGCTATAGGGAGCCAATCCGACTTTGTACGATATGTAACTCATACGGCTGATGTCGGATCCTTTTTTAACTAGCGGCACAACCTTAATCGGATCATCGCACTGTACACAACCTTTGACCAGCTTCTCGATTGATTCCGATTTCACGCTAGGATGTATACGAGAAAGGTACAACCAAAACAGCTCGATGGGTTCAGGGACAGTACCCAAGTAGCAATTCGGGTTTTATGAGGGTTCTGAAGACCATGATTTAGACTTGAAGAACACTTTAAAACCACGATAAAACTTGAAATTTTACTTGGGTAAGGACCTCGGTAAAGACATTGTCATCCGTTACTGCTTTAGTGCCACCAACAAGTGGTTTGCTGGTGAGCGAGCCTTCATCGCGGTGCCGTTTTAATGGCGGTTGACGCATAAGATCGCCGGAACTCAAGTGTGTTGGAGTTGTCAATGCGATTTGTTTCGACAGCTGAGCGATCTGCTGTCCTTGCTTAGTCATTTCCTTTATAAGCTCATAATTCACATCCAGAGGGCCAGTCACTTCGAATGTATGGGAATGGTAGGAAACCATTTGGAAATGCATGAAAATTTTCAGTTTTTATTCATTATCGTCTTTATGGGTAGTTTTAGATGCACAAAAATTGCACGAGTACATTACTATGGTGATAAGGTAAACACTCGTTTATTTGTTTCCCTCTGTGAAAGCATGTTTAGTCACAAATCGTGGATTTTCTGATATTCTCCATACTGCAAAAATGATTTTCCCACCACTGAAGGGGCGACATCTCTCGGATCTTCAGTATAGCTACTACTCAAATCATATAATTAATTAATCGCAAATACCAATACCAAACGACGAAACAACAGTTTTGAACCGGGCACATTTCATCAGCTTCGCGCACTCGTTGCACATCCAAAAAAAGTTCGGGCTAGTGTGGACAGTGTTCAGAAAAGCCTTGTTCAACTTTGTGCCGCCGCATTTCAGGTGAATCATCCTGTCACAAAAAGCAATGCAGGAGACGGATTCTTCATCGCCTTTAACTGGTTTAGCGCATTGGTCACAAGCGGAAGTCATGCTGACTCAGTTTCCAAATCTAATTTAGAAACAGCGTTGGTGATACTCTAATACGCAAGGAGGAGTTGGATTCTGCAGAGCGTCTGATATCGACAATTGACCACTTTGTCAAGCAGTTTTGGCGTGTTTTTCTTCCAGCGATTTCACAAAACTGGACCAACTAATTTCTATTTTTTTTATAAAACGCACAAATGTTGGCTATTTTTCTCGAGGTTCCAGAAGAACAAATCTCAAAATAATGTTTTATTTCAAAGTTCGAGTGGTAGTAAACGTCATTTTAACTGCTCGAATGAAGTGGTTAATAACAACAGTAAACACTACAAGATGACCGATTAGATAACTTTTTCACTGTTTTCACAACACGGAATATGCTCCAAATAGACGATTATCACAACGAACTGCACTTTCCACTAACAACCGGTAACATTTAGCAAGTCTACAGAACGGCAAAAACAAAGAACGATAGCCCGTGTGATAAAAAATCATCAAATTTAACAGCGCAAAAACACGACGATCTGAATAACAACAACGATTGTCAACATCCTGATCTTGCAAATGGTGTCAGGCAGCGGCCTAGTATTTGGAAGGTACTCAGCAGTGTGATCAACAATCAATACGAAACTAACGATTTTAAATTGGTTCACTACTTGACTAGCCTATTGCTCCCAAGCAAACGATTAACGTATCCCATTCTAGTCGAAATTCTACTACTACACAATGTTTGTTTTGATTCGCTATGAAAGTTTGACAGATAAAATGAGGGGTTAGTGGATTTTCGAGGGGTGAATCGATTAGCTTGGGACCGAAGAGAGTACCAGAGCTGAGCCAAAAAGTCGAGCACGTTATTCGGGACCTTTTAGTCTTAGAGTTACCTCTATGGTGTGATCGCGCGGTAGTTGCAGCAATCCAAGTTGTCGCCCTTTTTGTAGATTGGGCATACGACACCTTCCATCCACTCCTCCGGTAATATCTCCTCCTCCCAAATCTTGGCAATTACCCAGTGCAGCGCTCTAGCCAGTGCTTCACCACCGTATTTTAATAGCTCATTTGGTAGTTGATCTACACCAGCTAAATGATCATACAAATTACAAAGAAATTTCTGATCAATGCACAAAACTGATGTCTCTCTCGGAAAATATTTACCCTAGCCTCGAACACGCGTACACAATTTATGAGTTGGTTCGTGTCTAATCTATTTCGGACAAATTCATTTTATCTAGATAAAGCATTTCTATGGTTTTGACAGATGGGATCGCTTTACATTTGAATCGACCGTTATGGATTCTCGATCAAAAGTTAAGTTTAAGTTTCATGTCGGTTTGTCGGTGGTTATGGACTCAGTTTTATAAGTCTGAAATATTGATCAAACCCAATTTGAAAAGTAGTGATGAAGTGTCCATCTCGATGACTTTTTTTTTCAAAATGCAAATTTTAATTATGTCGAGAGTAACATTCGCACCGATCCGAGAAAAATAAAGTTTTGGTTTAATGACCGAAAAGTTATTCCTATTTCCAATTGAACACATATGATCTCATAGTGATAGCAATGTTTAACATATCAAGCAGGGTTTTAATCACACAAAGCAGATCGTTAGCTTTCATGCTAAAAAATACTGGTTTTTGAGTCAAAAGTTAATATACGTCGTTTGGTGGCTCCTAATGTTGCTTAAATCAAAGTTTACTTACCAGGATATTCGGAAGAGTTATCCATCTCGTCTCCCTCGCCCATTCATCATTTTAGGACCACCGAAATCATCTTAGCAACAAACAGTTTGATTTATTCACTTTAATGATGAGACAGCGAAACGACGAACGTACACTTTTCACGGGTTTCGCTGTTACTTAAGACAAACGGCATCTCCATAGAAATTGGGTGACTGAAGTAACATCTAAAAATATTTTGATCGGAAGGTGATTACGTCAAAAAGCAATTTGACTGGTAAATAAATTTAAAAATGGGATGTGATCCCGTGATCCTATATTCGGACAGTTTATAGTGTAATAACACCGACAAACCGACATGACACTTAATTCTAACTTATGCCCGAAAATCGTAAACGGCCGATTTAAATGTGCAGTGATCCGAACTGTCAAAACCATAGGAGTTTTTGATCTAGATGAAAATAATTTGTCCAGAATAAATCAGACACAAACCAGTTTATAACTTTTGCATGCGGGTTCATGGATTAGCTAAATAGCGAAGACGGAGCCAGATGTCAGTAGTGTGCTTTGGTCAGAAATTTTATTCAGGGTTATTCTGCGTGGCGTATGAGGTGAGACGACAATTGTCACCTCGCAGTCACATGACTCTTCTCACTCGATTCCGACAGTCGACTCGGGTGACGTGAGAGGTTCATTTCTCGGTGAGTGAGAAAATGAATCGCAAGCGACTCTGTGTTCATCCGTAGAACTGTCAGTATAACTTGTTTTTCGCAAAGGGCGCGTGCGTCTTATACCCGTTCATTTAAAATTGAATTTATGTTTTAGAATTTTAATTATTATAACGATTTCTAACATTCTATGCATGAGAATTAAAACCGACTTAATTTTATTTTCGTTTGTCAACAATTTATCGCTTAAATTTACTTGTTTTTCTTAAGTAAAATGTAATTAACATAAATTTAAAAAATATGATCTACAACAGGCCCTTTGAGTTTCTTGGTGTTTACATTTATTTCAATAACGAAAGGTAAAATAACTTAAAAAATCTCCTTTCGTTCAAAAACTTTATAATTGTGCTCTAAGTTACAAGAAAACTTCCGCTAAAAAGATGTTTAATCCATCGGTTACTATACGAGTAGATATAAATGGTAAGTTCACGATTTATCTTAATTGTAGAGAAGCTCCAATAATCTAGAATTTCTGCAGGGCAGCTGATCCGGCACATTCCAGAAGTTCAAGGTTGATGTTTTCCATGAACGAAAAAAACAGCTTCAATAAAACCGTAAATTTACGATAACGGTGTAAAGTACGATCAAGTGGTTGGTGCTTAATAAGGCGACGTTCAATCGATAGAAGTGCATGTTTCTATCAAGAAGTGGAACGGATCCCCAGTGGAGTGAAAAGTTTTTTTTTTAGATTTTTGCATCGAAACCATCAGATTGTATTGTATTGGAAACCATTGGATCAGCGGTTCAAAGAACTTCTACACCATAATCCAAGTGTCAATAGAAACACTTCCAAACCTTTAAAAGTCTAGTGCCAGCCTACACTACTAATCCCGGTGGACGCATAATTGTCACATGTGATATGGAGCTTCATATAGACCTCGGACAAATATGCGTTAACCTGTAATATAAGCACAGAATGGAGATTTACGGTTTGGATATAAATAGAATATGGCTTGTAAACAGGAATTATAAATTAATATACATATTACAGCATATTTTTTATTTCGCTTTCATTTAAATGAATGACATACTATAACACAGACGATGCTAGAAGGGTGTCCAGCAAATAAGTCGTAAGATCCCAGAAATGAGTGTACATTCATGTTCTTGTTATTTTTATACTCGAGATAATGAAAAAAACAATCTGTTTCATTCATTATTTCTGTATTTTTTTGTAATTTTGTATCAATTATAAAATCCCTGCCTTATTCTAGAGGAACTTTTTCGAATTTATATTTTAAACAAATCCGGTATGTATGTATGAAGTGAGTGCTCATTGCAAGACAGCGTATATCACGTGATATATGCTGTAATGTGAACGGGGTATAAGCCATTATGAAAGATAACTGTTGATTTATATTTGTATATTTTAAATGTCATCTCAGGCATGGTGGCTTTTTCACTATGGGAAAAGTGTGGTTTTAGAGCAAATTGTAAACAAACTTGGTCGCTGTCCCATACAAAAATCCAACATGACTGAATCATGAATTTGACACATAAGAACACCTATATGTAGTCACCTTGATCTCAGTACTATTCCTTTTGTTTTACTTCTTAAACAACGACGTTCATAGATTTTTTTTGGCCGGAATATAGATTTAGAAATAAACATCGATTATTTGTATTAACCTAGTTATTGACACATAAAACTTGGAAAACTTGAAGTATGAGCTGCTTTGAATTTTGGTTTAGTGATGACGAGAACGAGGACGAGAATGCAAATACCAACGAAAGTTCTTCTGTTCACTCGTTGGTGCGCCTGGAGCGTCGAAGGCTACGAGACATGAGCAATCCCTTAGATATGCCATGCAATGCGTAAGTTAACTTAAATTATCCATAATATAGTGTATATAGGATTCGATGTATATATTTCAGGTTTATCAGATATTTTCGGATTTCCAAGGACCTTTTCAAGTATTTATTAAATATTGTTGAACGAAAGCTAGGCAGTACAGTTGGATCCGCATCTGTGCTACCAATTATTAAGCTATCGGCAGCAATGAGGTTCTTTGCAGAAGGAAGTTATCAGAAGGGAGTAGGCAACGATTTATTTGCGGGAATGGCTCAACCGACAATGTCAAAATCTTTGTCATCTATTGTTAATATATTGGAATCTGAAGTCTGTCCTACAACAATTACTTTTCCCACCAATGAAGCTGAAAAGAACGCTATTAAAGTTGCATTCTATGAGAAAACGGGATTCCCAGGAATTATAGGATGTGTTGATGGCACGCACGTAAAAATTATTGCTCCTCCTTCAAACATTCAACATCTTTATTACAATAGAAAAGGATTCCATAGTTTGAACGTTATGTTGGTATGTTAGAAATATTTTACGAAGTCATACTGTTAATCACACTTTTTCAAACAGGTATGTGATCATAAACTGAGAATCCGGTACGTAGATTCAAACAATCCTGGATCTAATCACGATTCATTCATATGGAATAAGAGTCCTCTGGATGCAGAGTTGAAAAATAGATACCGAAATGGTGAACGAAATACATGGCTTCTAGGTAAGCGTGCACATACTTAATTTAAGGTAACTGCCAGTTTCGTCAATACCTTTACTTTTGATCGTCGGGGTGCTAAATGAAGTCTTATAACGCTCATTTTTGCATGAGTTTGCATCAAGCTTACCATTGTGACGTAAAACATATAGATTTTAAATATGATTGTACGAATAACCAATGCAAACAGATGCAATAAAATCAAGAAAACCAAGACAAAAAATTATTTGATGATCGGCAAGATTCGATTATGAAGAATGAAAAATCGAGTCTGACCTGTATTATTTATTAAAAACAAGTATAAATCGTGAACCATTAGAGATAAAAGATTGCTTTCTTCAAAAAAAGTTAAGGCCCAAGCGGAAGCGGAAAAGCCCAATCTGAGTAAGCCTACTTGTTTGGTTGAAAACTAGTTAGAACCAAATCGACTTCGGTTAGGCATCTTGATGTCATTTGTGAAAACTGTCAAACTTTCCGTTTCCGTTCCGCTTCCACCCATATAGAGCTTTTTGACGTTTAATCGGCGCACACTACTGCACTATTTAAATAGAACGAGTGCGAGCAAGAGGGAAACAGATTAGTGGGAAAACAAACCGTCCATTGATCCGTGTGTGCTAGATAGAGAAAGACGATTAAACGTCAATAAGGTCTATTGGGCTTTTGGGCCTTTACTTCAAATGAATTGTTTTACAACTTTTTGGAGCAATCTTTTTGCACTGGATGTTTGTGATGGTTTTCTTTTTAAAATCAGCATTAAGTTTGCATTGATGTTGATAAACAAAAATAAATCAAATAGATGACCTATATTGTCCCATCTTACCCCCAAAATCTTTTGCAGGTGACGCCGGATATCCTTTAAAGCCCTATTTGGTTACACCATTCCGTTCTACAACTAGTACACAGAGCTCCGAAAGTCAAGCGAAATTTAATGAAATACACTCAAAAGCACGGATGACTGTTGAAAGAGCTATTGGAGTATTAAAAAATGTATTTCGATGCACATTAGGTGCAAGGCAGTTGCATTACAAACCAGAGAAAGCGGCGAAGATAGTTAACGTGTGTTGTGCTTTACACAATTTGAGGCTTCAGTTTAATGTACCAATGATTGACGAATATTTCGAACCTATCGATAATAATCATATCATTGATCCTACATTTGAAGGTGATATTGACATGTCAGCGGATAATATAAGACAGGAAATTATGTCCTCCATTGTATGAATCTTTCTATTTCATTTATTTGAATTGTTATCTTAAATCGAAGATCAAATAATTTTTACAATAAATTGAGTAAACAAAACTCCACCATTTTATAACGTATTTATATACCTTATACCATGGACCCTTGTTAGTCTGAACGATCCTTCATGCATATTAACGAGGTTCATTTTTAATTTTGACTTCTAGTAACCCTATGACCATCAGAAAGGCGAGTTTCTGGTCGCCTTATTTGCTGTTTTGTTTTGCTTATTTTTCAGTGTAGTCAATCAATAGTCAATCAGTGTAGAGCGTTCCATTTTGCTTTTCTCCATTCCATGATGTGCTAAATGACTTTTGAGCAATTTAATTTGCACAGCGTGCAGATTAGCAGGATTCAAAATATAAAGTGTTCTGATTAAAATGGTCAGATTACCGGGGGTCTATGGTACATTATTTGTGACAGAACTTTAACACCCCTCCTACTCCCTATGGTGAGCTACAACACATTAATTTTAAATACTGGCCCTAGATCTTATTGATCAACACCGACATCAACATCAAACCAACACAACATTCGAGAATCCGTGAATCTGTGGATAATAACCGGTACGAGCATGACCCTAATAAATTGTATGGTTATTTTGCTTACCGACGTCTTCGGAGTATCATCCAAACCATTCGAAGAAAAGTTCGACAATTTGTGATATCGTTCAATTATTGTATTTGTTTATTAGGGGATGCCATTAAAAATATTTGACATACATCTTGGACTTAAAGCTGGAAACGTCCTAAGAGTAATTTTAGAGACCCTTAAGGATATTTTTTCACTGCTGTATTACAGGAAAAGTTCACAATTGTCTTGGGAGGTTATTGAAAAACCACGTGGACAGGTTTTTTCCCTTTGTCTGTGCAAAACAAAAACCTATACTCTGGGGTCTATTTGCCCCAAATTTACAGTGCCATATCATAGCGAAATTTCAATAGATTTTGATTTTTTTTTTCCATGTTTTTTTCTTGTCAACCTTCTTTTCCGTACTGAGTACCAATGCTACTGACGCCAGGGAGGAAGCTCCCACACCTGAACTCTCTATCGACCATCAACTCACAAATCGGGGACCAACGGCTTAATTTCCCTTCCGCTTTATGAATATCTCAAATAAGTCGGTACATGGATTGCGCGCTTCACCCACGCTAATGGAATCAGTTAAGTTCTTTATTAGAAAGGATTTCGGGGCTGATTCACCTCCACCAGCTAATGGAATCAATCGTGAGCAATGGAAATAGAAACCACGCTCTACAGAAAAGTTTTGTATACTTCAAGATGGTTTGGCAAAAAGTCCATGAAAGATGCACCAAACATTCTAAGGTCTATAAGCAGCTGGAAGATGTCAATGGAGAAGTTCTTAGTTTTCTTTAAAAAACATTTTTTTAAAAAGTAAGGGTTTGTAATATAATTTTCTGTGTTTTATTATTGCTTTTTTTTTCAAACTTACTCTAATGAAGCATGTTTTGATTCCAATAGCTCGAGCTTTTTCTTTTTATACTCCAGTAGAGCTATTTTGTACTGTATTTTCTCTTTATTCTGTTTTTCCTTACGTAGGGCGTTTTCTTGCTCGAGCTGAATCTTTTTCTCCTGCAGATAATAGTTTTTCCTGGAGTACCGTGCTAAGTCCTTTACGCCATCTCGGATGTCTTTTAGAAAATCTGTCTGCGTTTTCAGCAGCTCTTCACGTTGGTCTTTCTTTTGCACATTTTGTTGATTGTCATTCGGCATTGTATCAGAAAAACCTGGATCGTCCTTAGGATCAATGTTTTCCTCGTCACTGCTGTCTGGATCTTGCCGATGCGCTGAACCGCTTTGCGGACGTGAAGTCCCAGAGCACGAAGGTTCTTGATAATTAAAATCGGCTTGTTCTGCCAATCGTGAGGGCGTGACAGTCGGCCCCAATCCGAAAACGTTGCCTGTGGTATAAAAACATTAAAATTGCCTTTCAAACATGCTTAAACAAATGCAATAAATTACCTTCAGTAGCAATAGCTTTATCTAGTTGAAGCAGTGCTACAACTGCTTCCTCACATGGAGTTAGATTTGCCATTTGGTTTGGGCCACCACCTGTCGCACGTGCCTCAATACGTATGTGCGATAACTTCCTTTTAGTTTTGAGCTTGTAGTCATTCCATACCTATATACATGAATTACATTAACAAACAAAACAAGCTGTAACGCTGTAACATAATTCTGGACTAATTTCAGATTTGGGCATAACTGTTTTTTGTAAACACTGACTTCAATCATCGATTTCTCGCGTATAAAAGTTTAATCACGCAAACTAACATCATAACGAGCATCATAATCAGGTAGGAGAATGATTCCTCTATGTTTGTATAGTTTGTCCGCGAGAAATCGGTGATTTTTTACAAAGGCAAATACGCTCGAATCTCGAATCACTCCGTAATTATTAATCTGTACTTACTTTCTGCCATTCAAACATAGACCGGATCGGTGGCCCCAGACTATTTAGGTCTTTAGTTAGTGCAATCCAGACTTCACAAAATTTTTTCCTATTAAAATTCGCCGCCTCCGCGTATTTCATTCCCTTGGCCACCGGCGGGTATTTCTCCATGGTGGCCACCAAACAGTCGAATTGATGTCTGTTAGTAATTTTTATTCTGTAAAAAGGTCGTAAAAAGTCGTAAATTTGATGAAATCGGCGTATTCGTTTGACAGCCATTGTGAAGTCAACACCAAAAATAAACACCGCGTTTTATTTCAAATATTTATTTATCCCGCGATACGTAAAAGTTTCGCGAAAGTTCCATCCACAGATGGGGATAGCCAAGAATCCAGAGTACGTATCAGCAGCAGACTTTATAATTTTTTTCAACGGGCCAACCCCTAGATTTGTGCCATTAGGTGAAAAAACAACTCTTTGAAAATTTCAGCTCATTCAAATGTAACACGAACTGGCGCTTTTGATTTGAAATTTATATAGGAATATTGGTTGAAATGTATGGATACATAACATTCCTTCACTCTTTCGTGCATAGAACTGCCCTAATAAAAAATAACCATTAACGAACGATAACCCAAATCATTGAACTATTCCACAAATGGTTTGGATGGTACCCAGAACACGTCGTTAAGCAAATTAACTATACAATTTTTATTAGGGTGGTTCAGCAAACTCGATTGAGCTCAGAATTTTAATAATAAAAAAAAAGTTCATATTTTCCACAGTTTAACATCCAGGCTAGAGTCGGTGTATAATGAGTCACGCCAAGAGAAAAACAGTTGAACTCGCATCACGGTTTTCGAAAGATTCCCTTTCTTTTCACTTTGCAACAGAGGACTTCTACATCAACTTCAAATGACTTCCAGCGAGAAAAAAATATAGCGGCTTTAGTAAATCATTATATCAGTGATTTAGTCAAATTATCTTAACCAAAAATAGTAGAAATTCTCATAAGTGATCATTACCAAACGTATCCCATGACAATTTATTGCTCACTGCGTGTTTATGATCATTTCTTCGATTATATTTTATATTTTATTGCAATACCTTTCGTGGATCTTTCATAGCATCGTAATGTTTGTGTACTTTGCGCGATAGGTAGCCGGTTTGACAGTTCAATAGGTAGACTTGGCTTCACTCTTGGCGTGACTCATTATACACCGACTCTAATCCAGGCTTGTGTCAGTAGATGAGATAACCACTACCTGAATGTTTCAGCTCTTTTTGACGTTACATGGGCTGCCACTTTTGGTTTAATGTTCATAGGGTTAACTACCCCATTTTCAGCCTATTAAGCACAACCCGCACTTATTCTTTCTTAATTTAGCGCAGTTTAGCATCAAACGGAATGTTATTATTACTGATGGCTTCCAAATTTATTTACCGTAAGATTTGATAAAGAGAAACCAATCGTTGAGATATTGTCAAAAGTCTAACACTGTTTCTTGACGCCAAACTCGGCCTACAGATTCCAAACTCGGCCAAACGCATTGAAAAGCCATTGAAACGCCAATGAATAAATTCACTTCGGCCTATCGGATGAAGTTAAAAATTGATTCGGTCGGAGCGCTTCTTTTGTTTTGGGGAATAATGGGTGCAAACCTTCATATTACGCGTTCTCATTGACTTCGTTCCGTAGCTTATTAACTAAAGTATCGTACCAAACGCATAATTGACTTGTTAGCTCTGAAATCATGGATTTATTTGAAGTTTTCTGCACGATAGGCCCAAAATGGGCGATTAGGCCGAAGTAGTTCTCTACCCTATAGGAGATTTGGTTGAAATTTTCACATACAAAATGCTCATATACATTCACAAGCGAATATCTCAATAAAACTAACTGGATTCATGATGCAATCTTCAGCAAAATTGTTACTCCTTAACTGAACTACAAGTTTTGAAAACCTGAATCAAATCGAGAACAAGGAAACTTTTTTTATGATCGGTAAAGTGTACCCTAATAAAAAATAACCATAAACGAACGACAACCCAAATAATAGAACCATTCCACAAATGGTTTGGATGATACCCGGAACACATCGTTAAGCAAAATAACCATAACAATTTTATTAGGGTAGGTGTGTCATTTTTCATACAAAATTCAAACTAAAAGCGCCTGCTCATCTTAAAACCAAATAAGTTGAAACTTTCAGAAAATAATTTTCTCACAAAAAGGCACAAATTTTGGGGTTGGCCCGTGGAAAATTAAAAATTTTATTTTTGTGGGCCAGTCTAATCACCAGCCCCCAGAAACGGTCCCGGAGTGAAAAAAAACTTATGTTTTCGTGCGCCGCAACTACCTACGACAAAGGAAAACTGAAGCACACCTGTCAACAGCCAGCCAAAAGGAAGCCGCTGTTATCAACAGTGGAATAGATATGCATCTACGAAGTGTATCAATGTCCGATAAGCTGTGTTCCCATTCTGACACTGGAGTGTCTCAACCGACTATCCCTAAACACAACGGCTACGACATGCTGGCAGACGTACAGCAGGATGAAAACAAAAG